TGGATTTTTTTTAGTTCAAATTTGGATAGAGCAAAAACTTTTCATAATAACTTTCATGTTAACTCAAAAGCTTTACAAAAACAATTTCGGCTTTCCCGTGCAGATGCCCGACAAATAGTTTTAGATTGCCCTCATTGTGTAATTTATCACCACTTACCTAGTGTTGGTGTTAATCCTCGAGACCTTTTGCCTCTTAAAATATGGCAAATGGATGTTACTCATGTACCTGAATTTGGACGCCAGAAATTTGTACACGTTTCTGTAGACACATGCTCTGGCATTATATATGCCTCCCCTATGATTGGAGAAAAGGCACATCAGGTTATTACCCACTGCCTAGAGGCGTGGGCAGCTTGGGGCAAACCAAAACAGCTCAAAACTGATAATGGTCCTGCATATGCAGGAAATCAATTTTTCTCCTTTTGCAAAGCAATGGATGTTCAACTTCTTCATGGGTTGCCCTATAATCCTCAAGGTCAAGGCATCGTAGAACGTGCACATCGCACACTAAAGGAGACTTTACAAAAACAAAAAGGGGGAATTGGCCATGGCCGTACCCCTAAGGAAAGGCTTTCTCTTGCTTTATTCACTATTAATTTTTTAAATTCGGATGCTCAAGGCCTGTCTGCGGCGGACAGGCATAACAAGTCTCAAGGTCTAACAAAAGGAATGGTAAAATGGAAAGATATTTTGACAGGGCTCTGGCGTGGGCCTGATCCCGTGCTAACATGGGCAAGAGGTTCTGTTTGTGTTTTTCCACAGGACCAACAGGATCCAGTTTGGGTACCTGAACGACTCGTTAGGAGGGTCCAAGGAGAAGAAGCACAAGATGCAAGGGGTGGTGATGATTCTTCTGATCGCCCTCACAACGATACAGCCTGTAAGACCAGTGCCGAGATGGGGGATCCTGTCCGTGTTCCCGAGACCGATGCCCTTATCTTTTAGGCAATTGGACTGGAGAGTTTGACAGCTGTGGATCATTTGAAGGAGAGGGCGGGAATGGGCTCCCTTATTGGTATCCTGGCATTGGTGATCTTGCTGTGCCTGTGGTACATATGCCAGATTAGGAGCTCGCAGCACAGGAGTATGGCTATGGTGGTCCAGGCCTTCACTGCCATTGAGGCCGGACAGTCCCCCTACACGTGGCTTGCCACATTAAAGGAATAGCACAGGTTGCGAGGCAAATGCACTGCACTTGGGAATCACTCCCTGGCGTGAGCCCAGGAAGAGCATGTTGGGTTGCAAGTGGGTTGATGCCCAAGATCCCACCTCTGCAAAAAAGGCATCGGACGGGCCTGGTCATCACTGGGGAAGGCGCCCCTCATGCGAAGACCAGTGCAAGGTCCTTTCATTAATGTTTTAGACAGAGGCCCAACCTCTACTCTTACCTGTTGCTTAATAAAACAAAAAAGGGGGAGCTGTGGAGAGCTGCGGGAGCCGCGACCAAAGACGGCGCGGCCATAAGGCGCGGCCACAAAAATGGCACGGAGCATGGCGCGGCCATGAACAAAGATGGCGCTGGCTCCCGCCTTCTGTGCTCTCTGTAAAAAACAACTCCTTATATGGCTATGACTTGGCTCCTAGTTTGCTTCCATGTTTGCAGCCCTTTCGGTATATGCCACGTGGTGCTTCGGGATTGGCCATCCAGGAGGCTTATAACCGGAGCGCGGGGGCGGAGGAAAAGAGAAGCGGGAAGAAGCGGGCAGAAGAAGCGGGAGAGAAGATGTTGTAAAAGGTCCTGAATAAATCGCCTGAAAGAAGAACCTGTTGTCGCCGTCATCCTTGCGGGTCGAGGCAGTCGCAACAACCCCCATATTACAAAAACATGCCAGTTCAAAAATAGAGTAATAAAATATCATGTACAAATATTGTTTGCACCATTCCATGTATGTAAGAATAGTTCAAATTATAGCAATTCAAAAATGTAACATAACACATAAATAGAACAAAAATCATATGATCAATTCAATTGATACAACCAAATCTTTAACAAAATTCAATATCCGTTTAGGATAAAATCCATTGAGAAACTAAGAACACAAAGAATGTCCCTTTAAATAACAAGGGTTATATATGCACAACCTAACCTTGTGCTAAATGAAAAAATTGAAATCATTGCCTCTGAAGTCTGAAAGGAGACAAACATGTCTACCTCTGCATTCCTATTGAATAGTGTTTGAATTCTGAGCTAGATCAATAAAGCAAGAGAAAGAACAAAGTTGGATACAAGCAGGAAATAAAGACATCAAGTTATTCCTATTTACAGATGATAGGATCTTGTACAGAAAAAAACAATGCCTATAAAAGTAGGAGGAGTACTCAGAAATCAGCAAGAGAATGTGGATTTACATTTATTTCCAATAACTGAGAAATCTACTGCAAATATTTTAGTAAATTTCAATGTATCTTCCCAGGTGTGATCTTCCCAGGTGACAAGGCTCCTTTAACAGGATTTCACTATTCTTTTAATCACTCTGTCACATATTTGCATTTGCTATATCACGTATCATTCACTATCACATCTTCACTATCCTTAGCCATCATAATGGATCACCAACCTAACCACCCCAAATCTGATATTCAACATATAAATCCAGTTTCATAGATGAATATAAGCATTAATTTCTAGTTTTACAACAGGCCTGAAATTTCAGATTCATGTATGTAGGGGAAAACAAGTTTATTTATCTTTAGAAATACATGAGTTAACCAAGTGTTCTCCACATGTGATGCTCTGACCATTTACAGCAGCATCTAGGTTTCTGGCAGACATTCAACTTCCTGGGTGTCCCCTGAGACCTTTTGCATACAAATTTCTGAATGTGGATCATGGATTCCTGAGTTTTAACAAGGTCTCCTGGCAATTTACATATCATGGGCACACTGGGAGCCACTGAAGTGGGACAAATATTACAGCCTACCAAACCATTCCTCACTAGTGTGGAGACCTCAATCTCTCAGGTGATAGTGTTGCAGAATATTTTTGTCATTTAGTTCAAAGTTCCAGTTCCAAAAATATTCTAGTCCTCAAACAAAGAAAACTTGAACAAACTTTTTCTCTAGGGAAATAAAAACATGGTTTAAAAATATGTGGGATTAGAGAGGAGAAATGTTAGAAGCTCATGATCATCTTGGATATCTACTAGCAGAATAAGGACACTTGTGGTGAGTTTGGGGGTAAGAAAAGAGGGAAGGTTTTATGACAAACCTAATATGCTTCATAGTGTATTTAGAAAATAAGACCATAAATTTAAACAAGGAAAGAAGCTTACCTCCCTAATGAGCAGATTAATGAAGTCTGTATATTTTGTTCGAATAAATGTATTTGAAGTATTGGGCTACATATGAGAAACCTGTAAATGGGAAAAGCTTATGATTATGTGTTTATATATAAAACATCTATAAAAACTTCTTTAACATCTCTGATGTTATTTGGGGGCAAAACTTTAGATGTACATACATGGAAGTTAATTGTGGCTGTCCTGTGTTCTTTCATGCTTTCTATTAGTATTGATAAATTGTACATATAAGTAATCAGTTAAATAAGCAAAGGCCAAGGCCTAGAGTTTACATCTCAATTCTTTTATGTAAGAATTCTGACACATAATGTTTAATCTGTTAAAATACAGATTCAAATATTTAATGGTGGGGTCTGTTTTGGGGGTTGAACTCAGTCTGGGCACTCTCCGTGAGCTTTAAGTTTTTGTACTCAAGGCTAGCACTCTACCACTTGAGCTACTTCTGCACTTTCAACTTTTTGGTATTTAACTGGAAATAAAAGTCTCATAGACTTTCTTGCCCAGGCTTCCTTTGAACCATGGTCCTCAGATTTCAGCCTTCTGAGTAGCTAGAACTACTGGCATGAGCCACCAGCACCTAGGCATTCAAATACTGATTTTATCTGGTAGCAATCAGATGAAAATACATTGTGATAGATTCAACCTGGCATGGTTACCTGACCTAGAAAAACAAACACTCAAAATTTCTGTTTAATTACTTCTGTATTGAGACTGCTTGTATAAATTTGGTAGCTTAAAATACAAAATAAAATAAAGTTACATGTGGAAAAGAATTCTGTTTATCCTCTTATAAACTTGAAGAAAAGATGGTAGGAAAAAAGCATAACATGGAGCAAGGTACAATGGTCCTTGATCTGTTTATCTACCTAGTTGGGTGACAGAAACAGCAGGACTATCACTTCTAGTCCATCCTGGGCAAAGTGAGCAAGATTTTGTTGCAAAACCAAAATGGAAAGGAAAGTGCTCAAAGCTAATCTCAACCATAGGGCCCTTGATGAAAAATCACATGAATCTGGTTCAAAGCCCATTGTGATAACAAAAAATAAAATAAAATTTAAAACCTAGAAACAAAAAAATGTGATGTTATGGGGGGGAGGGGGGAGGCTGGGAAGGGATGTGAAGGGTAAACAAAGGAGGAGGCTGCAATGCTTGGTAAGAAATGTACGCATTATCCTGCCCA